CTCGATCTCTGCCGTCTGTCGCGTGGAAAAAAAAATCACGATCGACAGAAACATATCGAAAACGTTGCTTTCTACCACTTTAAAACACGTGTTGCCGATCAATTCCAAATGATCGGAGAGAGAAAAAGTAGGTCGAGAAAACTGAAATTTCTTCCGTACGTTCACAGGCACATGTGCCTGGCGAACCTTGAGCTCTAACTGGTAATTCGGTGCCGTGGCATATATTTGACAGCCAGCAGTGGCACGCGGCAGCAGCGACATTATGTAAACTTCGAAGAAATGTCATTGTTCATCGGCGGCAATTGTGATGAATTGCGAGCGAGCGCGCAGATAAATTTCAAACGATCTGACCGTTTTGTTAAAATGGTCGCGCTTTGGTATAACCGCCATCAAGGTTTTCAAGGCACGTTTAGTATCATTCATCATCTCGAAATTGAATCAATTGACAAGTAGAGACTTTCTTCTTTTGCGTTGTCGTTGTTGTGAATGCTAAGAAAATGGTCAGTCGGCATTCGCGTCATTGATGCTCGGCTAATTGAGTGATCGGAAAACTAACTAACGAAGTAAGTTAGAACTGAGAGAAGTTGGCGGACTCAGCCGAAAACATTCCACGGAAGTAGGGGGCAGACTTCCTGGAAGAGAATTTAGCGATCGTCGACCCTCTAAACGCTCCGCTAAGACCAGGCCAGCGAGCGAATCAGAAGAAAACGAAAAAGAAGAGGAACGGACGGAATCTAAAATAACCGAGAGAGAGAGAGAGAGAGCGAGAGGCCTCGGCAGGTGTGCAACGGCTCTAAAGTCGTAGCTGATGTTTTTTATTCCCTTCCTTCTGGCGAACTTGCTTTCATCCCTGCTGCTGCTTCTGCTGCTGCTGCGTGTGTGTCTGTGTGTGTCTGTGTGTGTATGTCGTCGAACCTGAAAGGCCGACGACTTTTTCCGCCTGACCTTCGCCGGGAATGGTCATTAGTTCGTTAGCCCCTTCGACTTCTTCTGCAGCACTGGACGCGGATGCGCTTTGTTCGCTCCCGCGTGCTCTCGTTTTTCATGTGCGCCAAGCTTTGCAGCTTAGACGCTGCTGCTGCTGCGCACTTTCTCGAAACGCATGTATATCGCGTTTGGCGATCGCGGGCATCGCTAGTTGTCGGGAAACGAGGGCTATGCGAATTTCGCTCGTGCACTCCTTGGGCTGCCGTCGCGAGCGGTTGCGATTCGTTCCCCAAATGTGAATGTCGCAAAAACCGAGAGATCGCGCGGCTACAGAATCACGGCGACACTAAACATCAAAGAACGATGCTCACTCTGTAGGCACTTCTAAGCGCGAATTTCTCCCATACGCAGCACAATTCATGCGAAACGAGCCGTTAGCGCTCGCAATACGTACATCATTGCTCCACTTGCGGTCGCCTCGCAACGAGCTAAAAGAGAGCAACGCAATCGTCGAATAACAGATCAATCGGTTCAGCTGCGCTGCTGCTGCTGCTGCTGCTGCTGCTGCGATTCGCTTTCTTGTGTGCATATGCGTGAGCATTATGTTTCGCAGGTGGCCCCTCTCTCTCTCTTTCTCGATCGTTTGTTGCCGTCTACGTAGCTTACAGCTGGATGAAAGCTACGAAGCACTGAAAGTAGCTGATTGAACGGCCGCGATATCTCGAGATGACAGCTAATTGTCAGGTGCGTTCAGAGTTATTTATAAACGTGACTTTTGTATTATCCAATAGTAAATCGAGAGATAAAGCGAGAGATACAACATTACCAAAGTGATGACCTCACCTGCAAGCTACATTCGGTTGCAACCAGTACATTTGGGTATTACCGGCTCGAGTGATTTTTCTCGGAATCATAGGCGCGCGCCAATTTTCATAAATTCGCTACGAGCCGACTCGTAATCAAATGATTGAGTGCATTCATTGATTAGCCATCAGGTAATTTCGCATTCTGAATAAACTAATAAGAACAATCTGAATTCAATCAGCTTCGAAATAATATGAGCTGACTCACATTGTACCTTTTCCGAGTACAAATCTATATATCGAAAGCTTTTGAAGAGTACTCCACGAAATAAAGAATACGATGTGAATTACCACTTACTGACCGTTCATTTAATTATAGCCGATTACTTGCGTACTTATAGACTGATAGAGTAAGAAGAACAGGCGGAATCGATTGTCACCGTATATAACCGTATATCCGTCAATATTTTCTCGTAATTCCCATTAAATCGTTCCATAATCATCTATGCGACAAATCTCGATATACGTTACCAATTAAAATTGTTCACATTGTTTGATCGATATCCTCATTGATATAATCGCGAATGTCATTGTCCACGTATCACTGAATTGGCTTTCATTAAGAAATATATATCCTTCGGTTTCAATAAAAGCCAGCAGCTGTTATTGAAGTTTAAAAAAAGGAAACTCCTCAACTTTCTCGTTTCCTTGGACTTGTGTATGCGCATTGAGCTTTCATCAACAAGAAGCTCGCTCTCTCGGTGAAAAACAAAGGAGAAAAAATCTATGACGAGCTTCAATGCCATACATCGTGTATAAATACCGAGGCGCGATAAAGTTAATAATAAAGAAGGAAAAAAGAGAGCGGGGCTAGTGCGACGAGATAACGATCACGTTAGGATTTTTAAGATCTGCTTGTTTCTTTTTTTTTTTCAAAATGAAAGTTCTGTATTGATTAACCCGATATCCAACGCTATCTTTTTAGAAATAAGACGAGACCAAATTATCTTCCTTGTTTTTAACTTTAACTCTAAACAAAATCGATTGTTACCCACCGATCAGATTGCTTTTTCAACTAAATTCCCGCGCGAGTGGCAACACTTTTTTTTTATCGCATAAATGAACTTCTTTCAAACAACGTTCACTATGTAAACCCCACAAAAGAGTTATGCAACTCGCTGATGTAAATCTACTTTGTGTCGGAAGGTGTAGCAAGCGAGATGAGAACCTCGGAGAAACTTCCGACGCGCGAAGAAACTCAATTAACGTCAAAAGCTCCGCAGAGCCGAAACGAATCGCGCGCGCGCTTATTCTCTCCCTCTCTCGTCTATCTGCAATGCTCTTTTAATCCGCTTTCAACGAACGTCTCGTGTCAGAAGAAGAGAAAAAAACTCAACTGCGAACAGGTCATTGGAGAGAGATGCTCCAAAAGCTCGCGGCGCGTGCCTCCAACTCGAAACAAAAAAATAAAGATCTTCCGCTTGCGTTTGTGAGCATGTCCTTGCGACACCCGCGTAAAACTTTCTTGCCTCGATGTATGTCGGGCACGGGCACACACACGGCGGAGCCGCGAAAGTCGAATGCTTACCAAAAAAAGAGTGCTGCCACTATTTTTTTTTTTTTTTTTTTTTCCGAGAAGGTCTGCGTGTGTGGTCCATTGCGATTTTGGGCCAATGAAAGTTTTTCGAACCTATTGGCGAATAGTTTCTATGAAACTCGGCGCGCCTAAGCGTTCCCAATAAAAAGTAGTCGAAATAGAATTAATCAACTCTCGGCTGTGAAGCTGACGCAGTCGAACTTTTACCGTTTTATCAAAGGCAAGATTAACAACAAGAGTTCGTTGCAATCGATGCCACGCAAGCGTGCGTCGTGTACAGACGTGGGCGCTAAAGAGTGAAAGTGTTAGTTTAGTAACGTCTCTTTCCACTTGGCCGATGACACGAAACGCTCGCAAGGATTCTGTTACAGAGCAGGCCGTGAGCGTACGTACAGTAGCCTTATCCCGAAAAGCCAAACGAGGAAAGTATAGCGTCGACTCTCTGCTCGCCGAAAAGTTGGCGCGCGTGACAGCCTACTTATTTTCTTCCGTATGTATGTGTGCGAGGGCCGAACGGTTCTTTTTTACCGCTTCTGTATGGGTAAACATACACTTCTCGCGAGCAACGGTTATCAGCAAGTTGCTCCTATTTTCGCAAGGTGAATCGTGTGTTTTATTTTTTTCTGTGGTTATAATCGATCGATTAACGAAGCGATTGTCTTTTTGCGTTGTAAAAATCTGACGTCATTCCGATACATTAGCCGCCTGATCGGCACACATAAAAGACGATAGCGATTTAACGGCCTCGATACACAGGTAGTCATGCACGCCATGAAAACTTCGATACGCCAGGACAACGACGTCGATGTACAACTTAATTGACCGATCGCTGCGGCGCAGTCGATAAGTGATTAGCGTCAATTTTTTATCGAGCGTCACTCTTCGATTGCCGTGTGTGACGTTTACACACACGCCACAACGGCTAAAAATATATTGCAATAACGGCGCAGTTGCGGCGATTATCAAACGAGCCACGTATGAATGAGGAGCGCAAAAAGCGGACGGTGGGTTCGATCGCCAAATAGTTTGACGAATTGACTTGGACTGGCGTGTACTCGGAATGAATTGAATTACGCGCGTTTCCTCGACGAAACATCCAACGCTAAAGGAAAACTAAAGGAACTAAGGAGCAAGCGAAGCTCGGAGCAAGCGTGGCACGAGATAACTCGCCCAAAGCGGCTTGACGGCGCGATGGAAGGAAAATGGTTCGCACGACAGATCATACACGGCGAGAGACCACCAAGGCCGAAGAGCTCCCCACAATGCGCGGCGCCGCCGTAGGATTCTTTTTCTGTTATCCCATGTTTCTCGCACATCGAGTCCTCCGACGTATCGGTGCGCTCGTGTTTTCGTCGCAGCAGCCGCATCGCTTGCGCAAAAGCCGGCTGCAATTACAGTGGCAAGGCTACTGACGCGCTTGAGACCGAGCGACGCATCCAAGTTCGAATTTCGCGACGTCGACCGAAGCGAGCCCTCGAGGCGTCAACGTTTATCGGTTGATCGACGCGCAGCAGCCGGCCAAGTGCCGCTATCCAGCTGAAAAAGAAGCGCACCTCCTTAACGCTAACGCGTTTGAAGGCAAAACAAAAAGAATTAATGTTCACCTTCCGGCACTTATCTCCTTGGCAATCGGAGCGATTTCTAATTGGCTGATTGGCGCGTGTTTGTTGCAGATCCACCGGCCGACAGCGTGTACATGATATGCGGCGTCCTCATCGCCATGGTCCTTGTCGGCGTGATAATCGTCCTCCTCGCCGTCACGATCAGGTAAGCTTTCGACACCTTTGTCACTGCACGTTTCGTGCGCATCCTTTTGCGCAATTTGTACATAGACAGCTCACCTTGTCAATGTCGACTAGCCAAACTCAGATGAGCTCTCTACGTTTTTTCATTGTAACGCTGCGTGTTGGAGATGAAGAAAGAAAACGTTAGTTATTAGATTACACACAATAGGGTTTGAATGACTTTCTATGCAATAACGAACAAACAGGATTGTTTAGAACGCATAGTTTTTCTTTCTCATTGCAAAGCGCAGCGTAAAAAGCAACTGCGAACACTGGCCAACGTGACTTGAATATCTCGTTAATATTTCATAAACTCACCGTCGTAACGAACTCTTTTGCAAAAGTCGCCGAGGCATTCTGTTGGAAACGTACAAATGCAACGGCACGAAAGAGACATTGCCGATGCGCGATGGCATGACGAAAGAGTCAAGTCACATTGCGACCATCTCTCGCGAATGCTGGCAAGCGCCAAGTCGTGCTTGATATATACAATCAAAGCTAAATTGTCCTTCCAACTTCAAGATAAGCAACCTCGTGAGCCTTCGACATGCGAAACGTGAAATTTTCATTTGCGACGGCGATTTCCATTCTTCGTCGTTCTCTTTCTTGCGAGCACTCGAAACGAGCGACAAGTATGCCAATTGAAACGCACTCAATTAATGGTACAAGAGCATTATTTGCCTGATAGAAACGAGGTGTTGATGATCGTGTGTTACGTTGTGTTCGGCGAAGTACACTTTAGGGTTATGCCAATGGGGAATTGGTGATATACAAGCGCTGTATTAATCCGTTAATTCTATAAAAAGAACGAGGATCCCGCAATGCCTCTCATTTTTTTTTCGTTTGACGCATACCGACTGCCGCAATTAACCGTGACAATGAAAAGGGCACGACTCAACGATTTGATGTATCTCGTTACTTCTCGTAACGCGCGCGTTATGTAGTCGCGTGGATTACTGTTTCATAATCCTCGATCAGCTGCAAAAGAAGAAAAAAAAGGGATCGATTTATTGTGTAACATGTATTTGTTGGGCTTCGCGGGTAACGTATAAACGTATAAATCAGCGAAGTACAGTGGGGAACGAAAACTTAGCAATGTAAACGTCTGCCGCATCAGAGCGTTTAACGGCAATTTTCGCGGTGTCACGTGCCGACCCGTGTGCAACAATAATTGAACGCTTGGTAATTAAATAAGAGGCGGCAAATTTTCCTTTCCTTCCCTTCAGTCGGATTAATTATCTGTCGTGGCGTAACTCTTCCATCGTATATCTCGATCGGCTCTTCTAGCGCGACGCGTTCGGTGGCTCGCCTTATTTATGTGATTACCTGATATCGGCCTTTAATCCTATTTTTCTTAAGGTGGATTATGTGGTGTTGTTACATATGACGTTAATCCGTACAGAGAAAGTTGTTTCCGCGAGATTAAGTGTTCCGGTAGAAATGATATAAAGCTCGGATGTTCAATGAGGGTCGGGAAAATAGTGCAAGGAGCTTACAAATGAACTAATTGCATCGCCGCTCTTCGTTAAAAACTCTACTTTCGTTCTTTCTGCGCCGACATTGACACTCGATGAAACTTTATTAGGAATCGCTCGAAAGCGCAATGGCATCGCGGAACCCATAAAAGCAACAAAGCAGCTCTCGCGAGGATCATCGTAAAAGCGTTGCCAATAAAGTAAAGGAGAGAAAAAAAAGTACGGCGCGTGCGCTGAACAGGCTAATTTTAAATTCTCGAAGGCTAGATCCATTCGCTCTAGCTGTATACATTTGCGACACTTCCGCATCTATAAAAGTCAATTGCAAATTTCATAGATCTCCGCGCAGCTAGTGCTTGAAATAGTTTTCGCCAAAGATGCTTTTGTGTCAGAAATCGAAGATGCGAATCAGGGCTAGATTAAATCGAACTTCCTCACGATAACGTCTATTGCGAACAAGCAATGATAATGAAAATCTATCTTCAAATTCCCGCTTTGTAAACTTTAGTTTGTGTAACATCTTTAGAGTATGTGTAACTTTAGAGTATGTGTAACATCTAGATTATATTAATTTAAGAAGAGAGAGAAGCTCAGGGATGATCTGTCAACGTAAGGATACGTTTAGCAGGCTCAACGCGCGTTCATGGGCTTTTTAGAATGTTCGCAACACAGCGTTCGACCATTCTCTTTCACTCCCTCTCTCTCCCTAAAAATAATCACTCGAGTTCGTTTACCCTACTCGTCTGCTTGAAATACATCCTTGACGCTTACCAAACGCCAATATCTACGCAGCACACAGAATCGCGTTTTCTTCTCCTTATTTTTTTCTTTTTTGCGTTTTTCAAAAAACTTCTGGCAAAACCAGACGATTATGTAATTTGCGTTATTGTCGTCGCCGTTTGCTTGACATTTTCGAGAATATACGTTTTACTGCGACTCGTGTTTTGTTTGAGGACATTTGTTTCATTGAGCGGGACAGAGAATAGGTTGGCTGACGTAAATCCAAAGCACAAGATATATTGCATGAGACTCTCTAAAAGGTGATGATGAATTGATTTCATTGAACATTGCATTTTGTACGCAATATTTTTCATAGTATTGATTAATAAACATTATACGAACCTTTCTCTCTCGTACATTTACGGTAATCAATTTTTAACACCACTTGTCCAATCGTCGAATATAACAAGCTTGTCTTTTATTACTCTCGAAACATCTCAGTTGTTATGTTGCATATACGGGCGAAAAGTACAGTGAAAGCTGCACCGATAAGTAAAATTGAAGTTAGAATGGATATTCCGCAAAAAGAGAGCAAAATTGAGTAATGTAAAGAAACTTACGCAATGAATCATACGACGATGACGACGACGACAGCGACGACGCAAATTAAGGAAATTAAAGACGTACAAAGCGACAATAGAGAGAGAGAGAGAGAGAGAGAGAGAGAGAAACTCTCTGTAAATTTGCCTGTTGTAATAAAATTACAATAATATGCAATTAAATAGAATTTCTCGAACGACTGCACGTGATTCTAAATTCACGTGCTTGCAAGCTTTCAGCAAACTTCTATTCGTAAGCCCTACAAATTTTTGTTATTACCCACGCAAAATAGCACCTTTAGTACAGTAAGATAAAAATATTAATTTATATGACGAAGTCAATTTCCCCGCGCGCACTCGAATTCATCATAACGACGCAATTGTTAAGATTACTTGCTCGAAAAAGAGAACAACATAAGAAAAAAACAACATCACGCAAGTTCCCCGTAATCGCGTGATTCCCCAGCCTTTTGTGAATCTGATTAAAGTAACGCAACGAAAGGAGCTCGAAATTTCGTTGTCGAATGTTTCCTTATTTAATATCCGCTCTAGATAGAAAGCTGGGCGTCTGGATGGCGAAATTTCGCAAATGAAAATTCCGATAAAGTACTTTTGGACGTCTTATCTATTTAGTTTTCTGAATGAAAAGATACACAGAATGTTCTTTTTTCGAAAACAGCCGAAAAAAAGAAGCCCACGTGCGTGAGCTCGAGCCTTCGTACAATCGATTTCACACCCGGTATAAACTGGCGCCGATTGCCCTCTCCGCTTATAGGCGCCCCGATACTCCGCGTACTCTCCGCACGGCTTAGTCACGCAAACACCTACGCGTGCACTTGCAAAGCGTGAACGTATGTGTCATTCGTTGTATTACACCGTGAATGACTTCATTTCCAAATGGCTCCTTGAACGAGTTTTATTTGTTTTTATTTTACTCTTCTTGCCACGTGCCGTTGGCTTTCAATGTGGACACAGTTGGCTGTCGAAAAAAAAAGCGAGAAATGCGAATGATGTTGTCTATTTCGAAGATGACTATGGAGAAAACTCATTGGTTTCGAAAAAAGTAACGTGTCCGAGATAATCTGTTATCGCTCACGAGTTTTCGCACATGTACGTTTACTCGACAAATTCACGCGCCACTCTTGCTCAAAAGCTCGATCTCTGGGCTCCACGGAAAACGCCACGGACTACGACCGTTACGTAGCTAATCTCGGAGGAAAGTGCGCACGGCGTTTCTTTGCGCTTACTACTCATTTTTCTTTTTTCGTTTATTGGGAATATTCCATATTTTTGAGCTTGCCCGCGAATAATTTCAGCAACATGGTGGAAAGACCTACGCTATTAATAATAACAGGATGAGCGCACCGCCGTGTACGGAGATAAAAGCTTATCCATACACAAGTGATGCAACGAAGGATGATTGTATTGTTGCACTCTTTATCTCCATGTGCTCAATTGGAGCGCGGAATCGATCATATGAATAATATGAATTCCCGCAAAAGATAAAACAAAATCCGTTGTCGGAAGATGTCACTTGCTTGCGCACAACATTCATTCACGCACACGCCGTTTAATAAATAAAGATGCTATTATTGCGTTTGGTGATAGGGAGATGTCACTTGACACACATGCGACAAATTCTGGCCTCGCGCGAGCGTCATTCGACAATTATTACTAGCCTTTGGTGCGAAATCACACATCGTCATCGAATGCCTACGAAAATTCGCTTGGCCGGGCACTTTTTTAGATATGGAGCGCGCGCACGTGGAGTCGCGTGAAAACTCGAGGAGCCGAGAGCTGACGCACGATGAAAATCTGCTAGCAAAGCAGAGAGACAGAGAGAGTTGAATTCTCCTTGAACCTTCTCCCGCACACGCGCTTCTATAATAATAAGAAAGCTATTGAATTTATCAAGCGAACTCGTTATATGTGGATATACATATATATCGACACGGAAGTGTCGCTTAATCGCTCGCTCGATCGATTATCATTCAACTTTTGATATTTTTAGTCGTGGAACGCGCGACTGTAATTACAATTCTTTTTTCCTTTCCGACGGAAATGAATACGAACTGTACATCGCCATTCACGCGATTGGACAAATAAAAAAGCGCTATCGCGTATGTTTAATGCGGGTGTAACGCGATCTGGAAATCCACAATGATATGCCCCGCGTAAGCGAGTAGTGCAGAGGAAGCAAACAGCCTGCCATATGCACTTGCTTTTTTTAACTTAGGAGGGTTCAGAAATATGGAGTGGTCGCTCGCGAGAATCAATCAACTTCTGACGATCGAGGAAAATGGAAGATTACTTTTTCTACGAAAGGAGAGAAACTCGTCGGAAAAATGTTACGTATCTGCAATGTTTCAACTCATCTCTGCTGATCAGCTCGCTCACGATACTTAGGTTCGTCTGTGTTGTTATTGTTGTTGTTACACGGCGGATGAATCGTACGAGCGAACCATACCATGAAACGTACGCGAATAAATTTATTGTTTTTGCGCGTAAAGGTCCTTGAGTATTATAATTGTATCGGGCTCATGTGCGATAGAGTGCGCACCAATAATTTATTAATATTCGTTATTTCAGCTCGCCATTCGTCCAAGTATTTAACAGCGTTTCGACGGACATTATCTCAAGACTTTTTCCGAGAATTAGATCAGTCACGTTACTTTTGAACGATTATGCAATATCAACGCGAGTCCATCGGGATTAAAAACTACAATTCATTCACGAGTTTCAAGTACTAAGAAAATCCGATCATTCGCATGATATGACATACGAATTGATACAAACACGCGACTACGAAAGATATTTTTACATAAGAAGACATAGCGTGAAAATCACGCGTAGTTGAAAAATAAAAATTTTGTAAAAAATCCGCGGAAGTGTAGGACGATTGACGCATGAGCCAATTTTCACGGCCATTGGCGCGCTTTCTCTCCCACTTGGCAGGTCTTGCGCAGTTTAGCGAAAAAGTCTAGCAGTGCTCATAGCACGTACAACGTCGTTTCACTCTCTCTCTCTCTCTATTCTCTATTCTATTTGGGCGCTGGTCAGCGCCGACAATAATTTCGGGCGCTATTTTCACCGTCGCGCGCTTGGCTCGCGATCCCGCGCTTCCGCGTGTGCGCCGCGGCACCGAAAAGAGCGCGTGTATTTCGTGCGCAAGCTGGCTTCTGGCTATCGCGAATAGTAGTAAAAGCGGCGATTCCTCGTCGCGCCGGCACAAAGGACGAGCGGACTCACTGGCGCGGCGACGACGAGCTTTCGCGTGGAAAATCGGCGAGTAGTCGGGCTTCGAGCTCCAGGTCTCGCGCGGCTACATTCTCACGCATCCGAATTGACGAGCGTGAAAAATTTGCGCGTCGGTCGTTCAACCTCTCCGTAAAGATTTTGACAAGGAATCGATTGAAATTAGCACGCCGATGGCGAGTTTTTCCTTGTATCCACGCGCGAGTACTGGACTGGTCGTTACGTAAGGCGTCGTCGGCCGGTCATCGATTGACGACTCGGACATCGAAAACCAATGCTCGTCGCAGAAAGAGGAAAAAAAAAAATCAGCCCCTCCGTTGCGCAACGGCTACGGGATTTGCGCGGCGCATCGTATCGCGTCAGTACTCGCGTCATCGTGAGCGTCGCTGATTGTCGGCAAAGAGATAATAAGAGAGAAGATGTAATTGAGCGCAACGGTGGCAGCATCAAGAGCGCCGTTTGATAACCCTTCGCACGGCGGGAAACGCTTATTCTATCAAGAGCGCGCTTTCGGCGTCACGAGTAGAGCAGGTAGATTATACTTTGCGTAGATGTCCGCGCGAGAGTCACGCAAGCAAAAAAAAGAAATCGGTCCTTGAACATCAAGGATGAACGACCTCAACGTTGTTCTTGGAAATGTTCCTTAAGCCGTGGGACCGTATCTTTTTTTCTCGTCCATTGCACAGGAGAACACTCTCCCGTCGAACGCATCTACATTTCTTTTATTTTGTCATTTTCGCGCAGCTGACGTGCACCTATTTTACGCCTAGTGCGAAAGCTCGCAAGCTTCTTCTGATTAGTTTCGAGCGAGCGAGGCTAAAGAGAACGCGCCTCATCATCTTCCTGGAAATGAATGCCCGTCGTGTCGGCATTTTAAAGAAATCGTTAGTATCAATTGCCAATGAATTGAAGGCCATCTGACGCCAGTGAAGCTCGTTACGAAAAGTATTATTCGTCCGTGAAATGGACATTGTCGCATCGTTAGCCTACGACAATCTCCGTTCATTAGCGTTTCTGTACCAATTGTTGAATGGATTACGTTAAATTTCATTGTCGCGCCGGGAAATGGCGAGACAGGCTGAGTGAAATATTACATTGCGCTTTCATTAATGCACGATTGATATTACGCGTAGACGGTCCCTTTACATAAACTTGAAAAGCAGGTTACGTTGCGAAGCAACTAGCCCAGCATCGATCGCCACACTGCGCCATATGCAGATCTCTTTCACGGAACAAGTCGAACGTAATGGGGCATCACTATCGGGCTGCAGAGACGAGCGCCTATAGTTGCGGAGCGTGGCAAATTGAATTCACCTTCGTTAAATCATTGATTTTTCAATTATACGACTGGGCGCGCTGAGCTTGTGCCGAGCTTTTATTAGGAGCGCCTTTGTTGAAAAGTTGGACAGGCTAACCAGCCGCGATCAAAAAACTTTTCGCGAGGCTATAGTTGCGCGCCAATTGAGCGCCAGTTTCGTTTATTGCATATTAATAGGCGACCACGAAAATAAATCAAATATACGATTTCTCAGAACGACCAAATCGAGTGGACTGGTCTGAAGTCATCGAGACGAAAAAATCGCCCGAAATACAACATCGAATCGACAAAGAAAGTCGCTTTTCGCGAAACTCACAAACTAATCCTATCGGTGCGTGTCACGTGAAAAAACTTGACGCGATTCGATCCTGCCTGTGCACGTCTCGGGACAATTATACAAAGAAGCGACGAGAAACGAAGGTATAAAACGAGAACGAGCACGAAAGGAAGCCAACGATCTTGCTTCCTCTATAAATTTTGATGTATGTAATCGGATTAATTAACGTCGGATAATGCTAAGCTTGTGTAAATTTTGGGACTTGCGAGCACGTGCGCGCACTTGGATGAGTTCGCGCTGTTGGGAAATACAAATCAAACAGAGAAAGATAGGCTCATCGTGCGAAGGAAAATAAGAATTACATTGAGTTAGGTCGTTCGCTGCGAAGAATTGGCTTCCAGTTCATTTTCAAACTCATCTTCGTTCAAAAGTGTACGACAGTTTACGATAAACAACCGAATATTATGTTATTTAATATCGTCAATCCGGAAACGAATTCGAGCTAAAATAAATGTCTTACGAGCGGTAAACACCGATGAGACTAGCGTGACATCACTTGTAAATTATCCATTTTTGAGAAAGCCTTTATATGTTAATTGCATTAACAACATCACTCGAGAGCTAATGAACGAACGTGAGTTAATGAAGTTTTCCAGGCACACTTAATTCAAATCGCTTTTGACTTCGCTCCAATACCGTAATGCGAAAAAAGCTCTCGGTCAACACTGGAATCCACATCGATCACCTTGCAAATCTCGCAAATCTCGATACTTAAAGAGAAAAATAAAAAAGAAAAGAAAACGTCAAAATGACTGTGTCTCGTCAAAATACGAAATGGCAGAACTGAAAATCTCGAACGCGAAGGAAAAATAAGCCATCGGTTTTCCGCTGGCGCGTATATACCACACTGGCGCGGCGGCAGTTATATATGTGTAATGTAATATCGCGGAGCCGTTGGTGGGGAACTACAGCAGCAGCACGCGTCGGCGCGTGACGTCAGGGCACGGCTATAAAGGGGCCGGCAAGCTCGGCGGCCGTTTCAGACGGAGATGAGCGCCCGCTCGCGCCACGCCAACTCACCGCCAAAGGCAAACTCATCGAGAAAAGAGCGTGTTCGCGAGCTGGAGTAGTAGGGTATCTAGTCAAAGGGGCCGAGCGCGGCGACCGCAACCGAAAAGAGAGTGTGTCCTGTGAAACCCAAGCTGTGATTTTGTGAACTGTGTCGCCGAACGAAGGCCGCCGCTCTGTCGAGGAAGCGAGTGCTCGCCAGAATGGAAATCAGTTAGAATCGGGCCGAGGGCCGCATTGAATATCCGCGCGATCGCCGATCGACACTCGTCGTCGAAAAAGCTGCGCTCGGGGCTATCCCGGTTGAGTGACGTCAGTTTCCCGTTCGCGACAAAGAGCGAAAGGAGTTTGGTGTGCGCTTCGACAGCGTGCCCCGAACTCGCTGATCGCACCAGAGCAAGCCGTCAAAATTCCGGCCAACGCGGCAAAGAAACTCACGAGGTTGTACCTGAAGTGCAAGAGGATGGTGGGCAGCAACGGCACCATGATAGCGATACGGCTTGTCCGTAGCAAACTGCGCAAGCGGGAGGACAGCCAGCATCACCAGCCGAACCAGGTACACCCGGAGCAAGTGCAGTGCCCGCCGATCAACATGATGGCGCCCGACGCCGCGAGTACGCAGTCCAGCTGCAACAACAACAACAGCGTGGGCATCGTCAATCGGGCGATGTCTAGCAGCACGACCACCGTCGACTCGTGCTGCAACGACAAGTCGGCCGCGTCGACCATCGTCGCTGCTGCGCTGGAGAACGCCGCTGGCACCACCATGGTCTACACCACCAACACCGGCGCCGCCGAGCAGTTCATCTGGCAGTTCCCGCCGCCTTATCCACCGCCCAACACGCCCCCGCCTCAGTACACGTTGTACAATGATCAGGTGCGTCCTCTCTCTCTCTCTCTCTTTCTCTCTCTCTCTTTCTCTCTCTCTCTCTCTCTCTCTCCCGGTCTCTTCCCTCACTTTTGTCTCGCACAGAGGCGCGCGCGTTCTTGCACTTATTCGCTCGCTTTATCGTGCCTCGTGACCGGGGAGCGGCGAAGCGAGGCTCGTGCTTACTCTGCACCGCGTTCCTCGTTTGAATTTTTCAAGCGAAAATTCGAGTCGATGGCAGTGTATCGGCCCGAGGGCACTGGCTGTCGCGCACGCCTTCGACGTCGAACTCTACTCCGGTCGGTCTTTATCCTCCTGCTCGCGAGCTTTACGAGCTTTGTCCGCAAGCCTTGCCTCGTCCTCGTGGAGTCCGGTCTTTGCCGTGTCACATCTATGCGGGTGCCGTGCGCGATAAGCTCAGCTCTTCGGCAGCGGCAACGGAACAGTGCATGGCGCGTCGTTACGGCATGGTTTCACGCTCTACTTGCGCTCACAGGGGCGCGCGCGTCAGCGAGAGGCACATTAGAGCATTTGGCCCTGATCGATCGCGCGGGTCCGGCTTGAAAGAAAGAAAAGAAAAAAGGAAAAACAGAAGGGAAAAATGAAAGAAGCGAGACTTCGCAGTCTTATTTTCCTTTACTTTGGCCGTTCGCGTTTCACAAGAAGCTTATGCAAAAAGAGTTCTCGCGCTCGCCTGCTCGACCGGTACGCACACACGTCAAATTAGCCGGGCGCATTCGAAAACTTTCTTTCTGCCTGCCGTTCGTGCTACGGGCGCGCGGCTGTGTGCGTGCGTCTGGAATGCGATGTGGGGGAAAATAGGCCTGTCTCTGTCTGGCGTGCCTTTTCCCTTGGCAACAGCCGGCGCACGCACACGCGCGATTCCGTTTCTTTTCCTTCGCACTGCATCCACGCTTAGGCTTATTTTAGAGAGCGCGTCAGTCTATTTTCAAGCCGCGTGCGTGTTCGAGGAGCCGGAGGAAAGAAAAAGACAAAAACAAGGATTCGCTTGGCGCGGGAACGGAGAGGATAAGGGAAAAAAAAGGCAAAATAAAACGAAAAATTCGCTCGGCGAGCGAGAGACAAGCGGCGGGGCATGGCTATAACGGAACAGAGGGAGCGACGCGACAGACGCGACCTATACACACCTCTACAGCAAGGCAAGGCAGTTCAATGACCAAAATGAGAGGCGGCGCCGAGCGAGCGCACGCTTATACACTGGCACGCCTCGCCAGCGGCTTTATCGATCACGAAAACGGGCCCTGCCTCTCTCACGCTTCCGGGGGTTAGCTGCTGCTGTTGCTGCTGCACTCGTGCAGAGCTATAGAGCTTCTCGCTCCCTGGGTGCGCATCGCGCCGCCGGCTCTCATTGATTCACGGCTTCGCGTGCGACCCCCCCCCCCCCCCTGACCCGGCAGTCCAGTTTTCCGCCGAACCAGCGTGTGCAATCCTTGCCGAGCGCGAGAATAACGACCAATTTGCTTTATCGTTGCAGGACACACTAGTACACGGGCTACAGTCGGCGGACAGGCAAGGCTTTGGAAAGAGTTTTCGTAAGAACTTGGGTGGACGCTGGCGTCGCCTGGTGAAAAGGAAGCCGGAAAACGAGAGCTGCGCTATACCGCCAGAACTCAAGGATCAGCTCAAGACCATCTACGTTTATTAAGATTACAGCGTTTATCAACTTGTTTGTTTTAATTAAGTATGCGTCAGCAGCGTCCGCTCTATTTAAGATTTCTTTTGCGAATGAACACTACGAATGTTTATATGTTGCCGCGAGAAGATCTGGACGATCCGCAACGCCGATGATATCAAAAATATGAAAAACACCAACAAACACGTGAGTGCCTTCCGCGTCGACGTCGTTAGCCATTGTTCATTCGCTCGTTCGTTCGTCATGGTTTTGACTTCAAATTTCGATTATATGACTAGTTCAAAATTATAATTACTTGCAAGACTCGAGCGATGCGAGGAACGATGAGGATGAAAACCAGCAAAACATTATTAGGCGAGACGTCATAAGAGAAATTGATAAAAAAAGACGACGCTACGCGCGACTACGTAGAAAAATTGAAAGAATTAATCGAAGCCTTCATGAGACTGATCGTGGTTAAAGGGTGTATACGGCATAGGTGTACGTCTTTAACGCGGAGCCCCCCTCTCTCCTAAAAAAAAGAAATAAATAAAAAAGAAAGAAGCGCACGAGAACGATAGTGATGATGAAGAGTATTTTATTTTGCCTTCGGGGTATCTTTTAGTATTAAACATGAGAGAAAAAGATTAGCGATGGACTCTCGGCGTTGCCCTTCCAGATTGTGCGTGTGTGCGTGCGTCTATGTGTGCGTGGGATATCAGTATATTTCTCGACGAATGTCAAACGAGAGATTGTTTTCTCGTCAATTGTTAGACTCTTAGTTAAGTCTCGGCAGCTACGGCTCACCACGATCTTTGTACATAGATATTTGTAAAAGCGAAAGCAATAAGGCGCGTATCACGTATCTTTCACTCATACTTTTCCTCTTCAACTCTTCTATTTTCTGTCTTTTCTTTTGTAAGTCTTGATTGTACATTTATAAGCGAATAGAATTGTTGGTCCTTTTATCTACTTGGCTATCGTCACAGGGATCAATAGTGGATGATGATGATGATGATGATGATAATGATGATGATGATGATGATGATGGTGATGATGATGATTAAGTGTCCTGCGACGATATTGCCGACAACGATGAATTCAACGGGATTGACTTGAGACTCTCTTTAACTCGGTACGATAGCTCACATTGAGCTTACACTATATACTAACCAATCTCCGTCGAAATGGTATTTTAGTTGAATTGTTGTATTATGTTGTTACGTAGATCTATCGGTTGTATTTGACGATAAAAAGAATTTCGTTGACTATCACCATTACGTGCACAAGAGCACCGTTGAAAAGCTTTACTAGAAATGATTATTATTTATTATTTTTCTCTATTTCAAGTCGTTGATTATTGAGATTAACACTATTTTTAGATGAATATTTTTCATATGATTGTTGTTTCAGAATAAAAAATAAAACTCACGAATAGTATCTATTTTTTTAACAAAGTATTTTTTGTACTGACTTTCAATGGTGCTATCGAGAAGAAACAAACTACTTTGGGACAGTGACATTGAACGAGAAATAACAAATTTTCATTGCGCTCATTGCCCAAAGAGATTGAACTTGTCGCGCTGGTTAAATTATTGCTCGTGACCACTCCTCGAAAGTTAGCGTTTCAGGAAATAATAAAAGAATAACTCCATCGATGTGTTACAAAAAGCTTACATACTCGACCAACCGGTAATCGTCTCCCGAAACATATGTTGACTAATTAATCATTTTTTTCTTCTTTTGCTTGTCTTCGTTTTTATCGAGATCTGCTAGTGGCATAATGATTTATGAACAAGAAAAATAGAAACAAAAATAAAATTGCGAATCGAAACAGCGATGCGTTTTATTGTAACGAATGAAGACCAACGATGTGCCTAAAAACATATCTGTTTAATGTAATAAGAACGAGGCTTCAAAAGCCGTCGGTTTATGTGAAAAAGTGATTTACAATAGATAGATCAAAGCTGCGCTCTTTTATTTCCTAGTCACTTTATAATAATAACGAAATTTTCAAAGGACTTGTACCATACATAGAAAAGAAAAACATTTACGCAGCTTTTTATTCTTTCATATCCAATGTTCTAATGCAACAATATCAAATAAAGTATTCCAAACGTATACATCGTTATATTATATATGTTATACCTATCTCCACAATTTTATTTGTATTTGCATATTATTCGAAAAATCTGTCAACGGTATAAAATTCTTAAAATGTACTCAACGTTCTTCAGATTGTTCTTTTTATTTTTTATGACCCTGAAAACATTTATGAGAAAAAATTATTATGCTTGATTTAAGAATAAAATTTATTTAAATTTACAGACTGTAAATTTTAACTGTAAATGTATTTACAGACTTAATTTTTTGTTCAATAAAAAAGTATTATTCATATTTCATCAATTTGAAATTGACACTTAACCTATTGCACAGACTCTAAAGAAGAATCCGTTAAAAAAATGAAAAAAAAAGAAGCGTATGAGAACGGGAATAATGATGAAGAGTATTTTATTTTGCTTTCAATGTATCTCTTAGTATTAAACATGAGAGTAAAAGATGCGTGATAGACTCTCGGCGTCGCCCAGATTGCGCGCGTGCGCGTGCGTCTATACATACCTACATGCATGCGAGTCTCTGATAAGAGTAGACGACAAAAACATCTAAACCATCGCCATCTTTTAGTCTTTTACTAAAATAAAGAAAGATAAAGGAGTCTATTTTCTGCAGTTTTTATAGTCGTTTTCAAATTGTACAAAAACAAATAATAGAAGGTAGTCTAAGGTCAATTAATTACTTCAAAGTTACCTATAATTTTTAGTATTCTTTAACGTACTATTTAACGAGACAATTGGTAAATGTTAAAGGTGTTCCAAAGATTTTCAGGTTAGTAGAAAGCAAAAGTACCAATTTTGAAATGACTGCAATCAATCCAAAATAATTTTTACTCAGTATAAGTGTCGTCTAGCAATCCTATAAAATCTTATAATCAATCAATAATTTTTAATGCATTTATATTAAAAAAACTCATTATTTACATATTACAGGTTATCAATTCAGTACACAATTGTTTTTTCGCAATATGTTTAAATCACCGACTAAAAAATGTTCAATGTTTACAAGTGCATTAAATAGTAAGTTGAATCTAGCATTTTCACCTGAACATCTAGATATCATCAACGAATCTCACAAGCATAATGTCCCTGCAGACTCAGAAACACATTTTAAAGTTATAGTCATATCAGAGCTATTCACAGATGTACCTATTATTAAGGTAAATTAACCATGATAATAAATTGTAAAACAAATCTTGATTTATGTATAAAAATTTTTTATTATATAGCGACATCGAATGATTTACGAGGTACTTGAAAATGAGTTACAAACTGGAATTCATGCTCTTTCAATTATAGTACGTAAATTATTCAGTTTATATCATAGTCATGTTTGATTACATTTTTTATTTATTAATTTTCTTTGTAGGCAAAAACACCAATTGAATGGTACGAAAGCCATAAAAATATCACACCCACTCCACAATGCAAAGGTGGATTTGGACAATAATTTATAAAAATTTGTTTTTACATATACAATTATCTTTTGAAAATGTAAAGTCAAATTTTTTCAGAAGTAATAGTTTACAATTCAACGTCGTGTATTTTCAAAAGAACATACCGTTATATCACATATCTAAATATAAAAAATTTAATGTACTAAATACAACTTTTTACATTGTTACTTAAAAAATTTATTATAAAATAACAATAAATTCAATTTTTTTTGCAAATAAAAAACTAATATGTGAAACTAATCATGAAGTTTTAAGTTATGATGTAATATCTTTTTTGTAGCCTGAACAAATAAAAATAAAATCAAACAAAAAAAGGCCACTAATGTCATAATGCAAAAGTATCTAATCTTAATTTTCCTTCGTTCTCTGTAAAATATAGCATATCTGCCATGCATTGCTCGGCTATAGCTTCTTCTGCTTTTTCGTACAACTAAAAATATAGTTTGTATTATAGAATTTCCAAAGAATTTTGAAAGCTAGTAAAATTAAAGAAAACGTTTTAAAAACACTTACTCCTCTAAAATTAACGTCTTTGGGAGGGTGCTTGAAATTTGGTCCAAAATTGACAGAGACAGTGGCTGACTTATGTATTGAAATACTCGGATAGTAAGCACCATTATAAATATTTACAAATGCCTCACCCTGAGGTACTCCATTTTTGTAGTATATGATTTTGCTGCCCATAAGAGGCTTTAATGCTCTTATAGCATCAGGAACTGAATCTTTTTCTTCATAATATAAGTGACTTTTAAACTTTACTAAAGGCTGTAATTAAAATAATAATTAACTTAAAATAGATTGCTTTTATCATCAGTTATAATTTTTCAAAAGCTTACCCGATCTTTATAAGTATTAGGAATATGGGTTGGACTATGAATATCTGGTAAAATTACAAGAAATCCTAATATATCTCCTTCTCCATATCCATTACTATAATGCTTTCCTCTGCTTTCATGAAAACGTGTGCCTTTTCTAAAATTATCATAATTTTTTCGTAAATTTTTCATAAATAATTTATTAACTCATGAATAAGATGTAGGAACTTAATTTTACAATAAATTCTTACCGAGATCGCCACGAGTAACCGAATTTATCATATCCTAGAGGCGCTTGTAGATTGGCATATTCTTGACCCCAGCCAAGTCTGGTTGCAGAACCTTCAGGCATTTCTTCTATAGCAGCTTCCCAGTACCATGTTCCTCTACATACCGCTGTTCATATAAAATATTTTAATTAAGTTACAATTTTAAAAATGATCAGTGACTTACAATGTGTAGCCCTAATCATGCAATATCCTTTATCGCCAGTAACAGCTAATCGATCTTCTGACACCTTTAACTGTGGAGCTCTGTCATGTAGAGCAAGAAGAACCGAACTTGGACTCAAAGGTCTATATAACCATCCTGGAATAGGTTTACCTGCCCAGTCACTGCTCTCGTCAAATTCCTGTACATAAAAAATTATTCTTAAGATTCAAATTTGTATAAAATATAGACTACAAATAAATAATAAATATATGAATATATGATGAAAACAAATTGTGATGACTAACTTACTTGTCTAAAAGGTGCATGTGGATCAGGTTCTGCTAAAATGTACCTGTAACCGTCTTTGTTCCAAGGATGTTCCAGTGGATATCCATGGGCAGGTAACTTTGGAACCACCAAGTCTGAGCCTCTACCCTTTTTACCTGCACCAGCTCCAGTTCCTTCTCCAGGAAATTTTCTTTTGGCATTACGTCCTCTTATTCCACCAGCCATTGGTACTATCAATGTTGAATTGAAATAAGTATTGAAAAGTACCAATTTTAATTAAAATAGCGAAATATTAAAGCACAGCAAGGATTGGTATATATTATATAGTTCTAAAAATAAGTGAATGAGTGAACCATTAATATGATACACTAGCAATGAATATTGTAAGTGCCCATGTGCAAAAATAACATTAATTTTTGTACAATCATCTATTGTGTTACTGAAAACGTGGTTAGTTACGTTATTAATTATGTGATAATTATTGATAGACGTAAATATATATGACTAAGCTGATAAAATAATGTGTTAGTCTTGAAGGAATTGCAATTCTTGTTCAAGCAAGGGCATATTTCTTAATGTTTGTACATACCAACTTGTTGTACTCCCATTTCAGTTACTTTTAACGTACCTCCTTTTATCATAGCTTCATAATTAGGTTTAATTGTAAACAAATCAGAGTTTATTAGTCCATACAGTGATCCTTCAATTTGATTTTCTTCTGTTATAAAAAGAGTTCCAAGATCTTTTGTTAAAGCTTTGAAAATCTGAAAAAACACTTATTACTTTATCATACATTTATTATTTAATTTTTAAAATGCTAGAAATTATGATTTACCCTAGAATGCCATGACTGTGTTACTCTACGAGGCATGGTAGTGATACTTTCCCAATGCATCTCAATAAATGGTATTATATCTTTATCTTTATGAAACAGTAATCTATTATTATTTTCTTTCTGACAAATCTGCATCAAATTGGCAATTGCAGTAACACACATTTGAGGAAATTCTGTAAATTATACATAATTATCTCAATCATTGTCTGAGTCAGTTGATAAAAATCATAGAATCTTAATATCTTACGTGCTTGGCTCTTTTTGAAACTTTCAAGTCCAGTTTGTGAGCAATTTTTACACATAAAAACATAGTTTGTCATAAAAGGTACAAGTTTTCCCAATTGGTAACCAATGCAAGATTCATGAAACCATCTTGTGCAACTTGCGCAGAGTAATTCTGCAAGGTTTAAATTTCTATCTTTACCGCTGTAAAAGTAAACTTACTCATAAATTACTCATGATTCATCTTCATAATGCTCAATAGAGTTAGTGATTTGATGATTTACCAATAACAATTGCCTATTTCGACAGCAGTTGTCCGTCCATTTGTTTTTTCAGTTGCTTCTTCTGGTTTGTTGACATCAATTTTTGGTTTCTCTTCAGCTTTTTCATTTTCTTTCTCATCCGCAGTGCTGTTTTGTGAATTTTCCGTAGCCTCTGGCGTTGTACTATAAAATAAATGAACATCTCATTTAAAATGGTATTAAAAAGTCTAGAAGTAATAACATTATAACCTCCAAAAAATTCTTTTTCACTGTCTGAAATTGTTTTATAATTGATATATTCCATATTTGATATTATCATGAAATAAAATCGTGTGAGATTCGTTACAGAATCTTGTAAATAAATAAACAATTATTTACCTCTCTTCTTTTCCAACTGACATTTTGGAGCTAAAAAATTGTAAACAAAGTTGTGCACGACAAACGACAAGAGCGTGAAACGACAAAGATCAGCTCGCAGCGTTGCGTCGTCGAATGTGAATCGAGCCGCGGCCCGCGACATGCGAGTCGTGACGAGCGCTAGCAGCGCGTAGAGCCTCGATGCCGGTGTCGTACAGTGCTGCCACGCGCGGCATTTTCAAATTGTTGGTATTTGAACTACACCTAAATATCCTTCTCAAAGAAAAAGACCATAGTAAAGTATCAACTAAATCATTAATACACTAACTATTAAATTCCATGAAATTTTCAGTTTTCATAATCATAACAATTCTATATACTTTGTTCAATGGCAATGTTAAGTACGGTTTAAATAATGCGGATAAGCAATGCATAAAATAAACAATACACAATGTACGACAATTACGAACCTTGTTTACCGACAAACGCCAACTAAATTAAATTTCATGGTAATTGTTTCTCATGCAGAAACGATATTTAGAAAAGCCCTAACGACAGCGAAAGACAGAAATAGAGTCTGAAATTGTCATGGAGAGAAACTCCTCAGTAGGTAGAAAAAAATGGTATTTACGTCTAAGGTGGCATTAACGCAGCAGAAAACTCGTGACGCCATATACAGATGATCGAGAACGAAAGCGCGCAGATGTGAATGAGAGGCGCGTGGCGTTATTGCGAAGGAAAAATGAGAAAATAAAGGGCCAGCTCGGCAGGCAGCTCGGCGCAAAGCTTGCAAGCTCGTCGCGCTCTGGGCAGAGCGGCGGTGGGGAGGTCAGCTGCTGCTCCCCGTGGCGCAGAACCGTCGCGGTCGTCGTCGTGGTCGCGGTCGTGGCGAGAAAGACAGGAATAGCAGCGATGCCCCTCTCACGCTAGGGACGAGTAATCGTCGGACAGGCGAGAGAGTTCGGAAAGAGAGCGGAGCGCGGGTTGCCGCGGATCGATAGGCTTAGCGGGCGGAGGGGGAGGCGGCATAGCGTAGACTGGTCGCTTGGCGACTACGTCAGGAAAAGCTCGCTTATTGGCTTGCGGTATTGATTGTCTGGTAGCGGGTACCGGAGCGAGCGAGAGGGAGTAAGCGGGAGGGCGGCAGGGAGGGAGCGAGCGAGAGAGCTGGTGCGCGCGCCGCTGCTGCTGGCTGGCGCTGCTGGTGCTCGTGGCGGCGGCAGTGCCGCTCAAGCGACGGGACCGTCGTCGTCGTCGTCGTCGTCGGGGACGGACAATCGTCGTCGTCGTCGTCGCCGTTGTTATTATTGTTGTTGTTGTTGTTGTTGTTGTTGTTGTTGTCGTCGACGACTGTCGGGCGGACGAGGCAGCGAGGCTCGGCCGTGGCGACGCTCGGTGAGACTCCGTGAGACTCGGTGAGGCTCGGTGAGGCTCGGTGAGGCTCGGTGAGGCTCGGTGAGGCTCGGTGACGCTCGACGCGGCGGCCCGACGAGAGTGTGCTTGTGCGAGCGGCCGCGGGCCGACAGTGCGCGCGGGCGCGGGCAGAGCTTGGCAGTCAGTGTCGAAGGCATCCCCGCAAGTAGGTCAGCGAGAGCGCCGGTGGCGAAGAGCAAGGCGCAGACGAGGGCCCGATTATGAGAGAGGATCGGCTGGTCCGGCCGGGCCTGGGGCGGAAAGCAGTAGCAGTCGAGGCAGTCGCGGCGGAAGGAGGCGGCGCCCCCCGGCAGTCGCGGGCCCAGCCGAAGCCAAGCTGCCGTGGCTGCGGCCGGTGAATGTCGTCGGTGCTGCAGCTGGCGGCGGTGGTGAGTCGCGTCGAGGAGGCGGAGGAGGCGGGCCGCCGCGGCCGAGGGCCGCCGGCGCAGCGGGCGGCGCTCGCGGGCGAGCAGGGCTCGAGCGAGCCCCAGGCGGAGTATGGCCTCGGCGTGCAGCGAGGACGCTGCCGCCGCGGCGGCGGCTGCGGCGGCGGCGGCCGCGGCCGGGATGGCGTCGGAGCAGCCTCCCGGGATGGACGAGGACTGCCTGAAGGTGAGGCGCTGGTGGTGCTTCCTGCTGTCGAGCATCTTCACCTTCCTCGCGGGCCTCCTGATCGTGCTGCTGTGGCGCGCCGCGGCGTTCCTCTGCTGCCGCAAGGAGCCCGAGTTCTCGCCCAATGACCCCAAGCAGACCAAGGAGCAGAAGCAGCAGGGCCGCCAGCAGGGCAAGGAGTTCGAGGGCACCTTCATGACCGAGGCCAAGGACTGGGCGGGCGAGCTCATATCCGGACAGACCACCACTGGGCGCATTCTCGTGAGTCCGCTCCGCTTGCTACCACCTCGCCGTAAACAAACGCCACGGCGTGCTTCTGCCCCGCGAGCTCTCGCCAGCGCGCTATTTGCAGGCGACAGCAGCGCCTAGTCACCGTGCCAGTCGACCGCCTCGCCTTCGGGGCTTCTTCCCCTGCCCCCTCCCCCTCTCGCGCTCTCTCTCTCTCTCTCTTTCTCTCTCTCACTCTCTCGCTCTTTCCCGTCCTGCTACTGCTTCTCCGCGCTGCCGCCTGCTCCTGCCAACCATCCCAACCTACGTCGCCCCGTCACTTCCGCGTGTCGCCTCGCTTCGCGCAGGTACCGCTCGACTGTTTACGTGGCCCGCGGAGGCGCTTGTCGTCATCGATGCTTAAGGAGATTATCACTTCGCCGACGCGCGCCAAATAACGATATACCTTAAACGTAAACACGCCAGGTGCGTGTTATAGACGCTAACGCGAGCGAGAAAAGTGGAGCGCGACTCTAAATTTAACCTTCCTTTTCGCCGATTTTTTACATCACGACGACATCGCGACGTCGAACAAGCAAACTTGAATGAAATCGCTTCCAAGTTCATTTGTGGAATGTGAATTTTGACGCGGAAAAAAATATCTCATCGAGGAAATTTTTAATTCCATGTGCGCGTTTAGAAGGTAGCATGTAGAGAGACCTATGGACGAGTACTTGATTATTAAAGGCTCGCGAATTCGCTGATTGCGCGCCACTTCATAGGCCGCATTTTCGAAACGATGTCTTCGTAGGGTCAAGGCATCCCTTCTAGTAGATTGCCGAGGCCTTCGTTTATTGCCTGTAATCTTTCGATATACAATTTTTTCCTGCTGTATTTTTCTTTCTTCGCGAAATTTCTGTTTATCGAATGTCGATGCGATTCAATGTTCACTCGTACGAACAAAAATCGAGAACGACGCTGTTACTTTCACTTAAAGCTCAACAATATAATTTTTCGTGTGTCCAAACCTGAAAAGAAAAGCAACAAATCTTCAAATTTTCGATCGCAATCGTATCCGCACCAAAAAAGTCAATTAACAATACTTCTAGCATCTTCCATTGTCAACAACAAAATCCCTCGACTATCCACTCAACACTGAAAGTGCATCATCCTCTCGTTTCCTCTCCTGTACCGAGAGTTCGGAAAAAATCGACAAAAAAGAAGAGAGAAGATGAAGCGCGATAGATAGATAGAGAGGGAGAGAGAGAGAGAGAGAGAGAGATACACACACACACACACACAAAATTAAAAAAAGCTTTGGTCGTTGAATTTGCGCGTGCGCGAGTTTTCTTCATACACACAAAGCAGCAGCAGCACGAGGGAGCGAAACTGGTGCGGCGATGACCTAGTTTCTGCGCAGGCGAAGCGCGCGCGAGGGACCGCTCACTCTCTCTCTCACTCTCTGCTCTTTTCTTCATTATGTACCGTGTAGCTCGTATATACGTATACGCACCCACTTTCCTCCGCTGCGAGTGCGTGCGCGAGAGCTTGCGAGGGCGCGTCCCTTATTTTTGCATAGGTACATCGGTAGGCGGCTGGTTAATCGTCGAATTTCGCGTACGCGCCTTGCAATTAGATTGCGATCGTCGAAATTACGGGCAATCTAGCTCTATTGCATGCCCTCGATGATGTATAGTCGTGCACCGTTAATTCGCTGTTTACGATCTCGCGCCTGCCGCCAATTGCACGTAGCCTGTGTCTCAGCGCATCTCACTGGTTCACTATTTAGAATGGGGTTCGCGAAAATTCGTGTCAAGGGTTGTTTATGTACCTTCTTCAACACTTAACGCCGTTTGGAATGGGCAGCACATAAAAATTTCCGTACCGCGAGTACACTTGAATACATTATTTTTTATTCGCCTGCGATAATACGGAAGACGTTGACAATAAACGTCAAACTGTTTTTTCGACCGTTCATTCACCAAAATTTGTTCGTCGAAAAACTGCAGGATCATTTTATTTTTCGCGTTGCACGTTTAGAATACAAAAGTGCAGCTCGTTTCCTCCTTCCTTTGTGATGCGACGTCCATTTTATACAGTACCAAGGGTTTTATTCAAATTCGAGCGCGAATTTTCCACGTATGACCTCCTCGGAAGCTTGATCCCTCTGTTATATATGTACGTATACGTTCACCTATATCGGTGAGAATTTATTGGCGCGTAAATTGAACACTTTGGCAGAAGTCTCTTTCTCCCTCGCGCGTCCGGAAAGAAGCGCGCGCGCGAGAAAAAAAGAGGAAAGTTTTATCCCTTGCCGAAGAGCTCTGGCGAGCTGGTATTTCGCGTTTCTACGCGTCCGTAGCGCACTATTTATCACAAATTTGAGCATCCGCTCTTTCTCCCGGTTAGTAAATCATCTTGCCGCGCACCAACTTTGCACACATTTTTCGCTCTCGCTGTACCGCAGAAGAGTCAGTCAGACACTCTATCGCGCGCGGCTATACACACAAGCACGCGCCATTCAATGAAGCGTTAATCCACGATCGACTTGAATTACCTGCACACAATGAGAGAAACCCCTTAGTGCTTGAGTCGCCTATAGGCTTAATCCGCTGAAGCTCTCAACGCGCTAATCGAAGCGTTGCATAAAAATGGGAAAAAAAGAAAAAAAAGAAAAAAAGAAGAGGCCAGCCCCTGAGTAATTGGGTCAAGCGTGTGTCCCGTCAGGTTCTGCCTCGTTATAAGGGATATTCCTGCGAATTTATTCCGCGCCTTCTTCTCGCCGACCGACATTAATTAACCGAAGAGGAGAGAGAAAAAGGAACGAGTCGCACGCACGCACGCGCCGCCAAGCAAAACATAAATATTTATCGGGGACTAGCCTGCTACTCTACTTTCTATTATAGGCGCGACTACGCACACTCTGCCCACGAGCCGTCGTTTGCCCGCTTTTGCGTCAATTCAATTTGTCAGAAGCGATCCAAAGAGGAGACGCGCAGCTGGTGCCCAGCGCGACAATAAAACTGAGTCGCAGACAATCGCCGTGCGATCCATTAACGATTTATCGCCGAGTCTAGCGACGGCGACTATTGTCGCGCGCGAGAGCAAAGTCAAATTTCACAAAAACGTATCCCCGACGTTCTCTCGCTCTCTTGCAAAGTCGGGGCTGAACGGCGAGTCGGCTTATTGCCAGATATTGCATGCTCGCTGCGTCGCTTGCGCATCAACACTTGGCACACGCGAGCCCGAGTTTCGATGTCAAAGGTCAATTTTCTAACGAATTTTCGGTCTGCTTTTGGCCAAAATCAAGTCGCTGGATTTTCGCGATCGACAGGCTTGTCAAACGATAAACTGCTCGCGCTTGTGTCGATTCGCGTGCGGCGACGCCTCCTGTAATTCACTGCGGCAGACTCGCTCGCCTTAATTTTTACGCCTGACGATCATCCGAAGGGGATGCGGAGCAGGGGAAAGTCCAGCTCGATTTGGGCCAATTTGCCACGTAGCTGGGCGTCCAGTTTACAAGCTCGCAATCAAGCCAACGATTGAATTTGCTATCGATCACGCGCATGCATATTTCAGCCGGTAAAGTTTGGTCTCGCCGAGTAAAATCCACGCTGGCAGTTCACGTGAAAAGTCGGCGCCGAGTTGTAGAGCGCCCAACCCAGTTTCTGCGCTGGTTCCTTTATCTGTAACGGCACTGCAGACAATTGCTTTCATCGCTGCGAAAAAGGAGCGTGATTGGAGCTGCGACGCCGCTAGGGAATGCCTAATGAAGCCGTAATTAGCTGCTAATTATGTAGTGCTATGAGACGGATAGCCTAGTCGACTGCTTTGCATTCTTCTATTATTATTCGCCGCTGCGCGCGCTTATTTACCTTCCATTACGGATAAATAGATCGTTCGTGTTCTTTTTCCGCCACCCCTTCCCCCTCCCTACTCTCTCTCTCTCGCTTTCTTTCTGCATACCAACCTCGTTTTCGCGCAGTCCTATATTTTAAAAGCACGGGGAAGGTTACATCTGCCGAGGGACGTAACCCAACGCCATCGAAGCCGTTGAAGCGCCGTGTCGCATAAAGGACACTCGAGGCTGAAATTGAATTTCCTCCCGGTAGCACGCATCTGCCGCTTTCTCGCGTCAAAATACGAATGTCGCTTTGTTGCGCTGCTGCACATCTGTAGAAAACGATGAGAGCCTCTCGTCCTTATTATAAAGCCGAAAATTTGCTATCTCAAAGAGATTCAATGACAAATGTGCCCCTTCGCTTTCTTCTTTTTAATGACCAGATTTATTCTTATTGCCGCGAGTTTTATTGGCTATTGTTAACGAAACAATCTCGCTTTCCGAATGCATTTCCTTTCACGAGTGCCAATCAGCGCCAAGCATCCTTTTCGGGACGTTTGCAAATGCAGATAAGTCAAAAATATCGTGCGATAAAAATCCAACACGCGTCAAAAATGGTATGTCGCGTCGGAAATGAAGCAAAGGCTCGCGTGAACGAGCATCTCAATAGCCTACCACCCCCTTCTCCGCCCCACACACACACACACATACACACGCTCTTGAAAATTGCCGGAGGGGAATTAATGGCAATCCGCCGGGCTCTCCGGCCAATTTCGCGAGAACGGATATCACGGCCAGCGAGTCGAAAATTTCCAATGGGCTTGGTCGATTAGTCATCTCGAATAGTTTCCCCTTGCTCATTATTAATTCCCTAAAATACTTCGACGGATTTTCTTCTTCTTGACACTAGTTTCATTGCGAGAATGAAGCTTTTCCTTGAGCTCGTCGTACAGATAAAGACATTTGTGAGATATATGCGGTTTCCTTTTAATGAGAAAAAGCAATATCTCTTGTAAATTGTTATTGTAGCGTGTATGTGTGCGATATAGAGAGGAATGTTTAATGAGGTGATGTAAACTTGAGAATTCCATTGTAGCCTAGCTCAGCGCCTGTAATATTTTTTTGTGTATATCGTCATGCGCAAATTTATGCTCTTTTAATATTATTCGCGCATACGTTGGATCCTCATTTACGATTTCTGACGCATTTAGTG